ATATATATATATACATATTTGCTTCATACCCCATTTTATGTTTGGGTGTTAGTATAAATGAAGCTGCTGGTTTGGATGAGATTGCTTAGACCAAGTTTAGACTGAGGAAAAAGGGCATAAAAATAAGTCTTGAGATACTACAACATTGAATGCCCTATAGAGGAAAATGGACTTGCAAGGAGAGAAAGAAGGAGCAGCAAGAGAGTTAAGAGCAAATGAAAGAAAGGCAACAGTGTTTCTGGAAGGAAAAAGGGAGTATTCAACAGTGTCAAGTCCTTACTAAGATCAGTATTACTCATCAAGTCAGATGAGAACAGGAAAAAATGTATTGGATTTAGTGATATGGGAAGGCTTCAGTACCCATACCTGTTTGGGGTAGTACTAGCAGAGCCTAGAATAAAGCAGAGGTGAGGAAATTAGGGTAGAAGTGCAAATAAAATAAGTTTGTTTTCATAGGTGAAAAAAAGGATAAGGCAGTAAAGGAAGTATAGTTAAAAGTGAGTTTTGTTTTGCTTCGTTTGGATTAAATTGGGTGATACTAGAGCATGTTGAAGTGATGCTGGGTAAAGATTCAGTTGATATTTAATTGAGTAACCAGGACAAAATAGGCATAAAAGAGGATAGGATTCGAAGCTCAGGTACAGAGATTAGCTTTAAATAGGAGAGAGCTCCACCTTTTCTGTAATTAATTAATCAAAGTATATTATTCTAGTGTGCTCATTTAGCATTTATTACAGTACTGTATACAGAGTAGTACTGACAGGGGCTCGACCTACTTCTCTGACAATCATTTCTAAGGTAGGGCTAGTCTAAATTGGTAGAAAGAAACACTAGATTTGGGGGAGCAGAAAGAGAAGGAAGAAGGAAAATAACCATCTCCCTTCACTAGGAAAGAATGTTCAAAAGAAGCCTTCTTAGCTCCAAAGAGCACTCTCATGGAAGGGGATGATTGTTCTGATTACTAATAAATAAATTAAGGAACTCATTTTATTGTCTGTGCCCCTCAGTTCTTAGAGGTGAACATACTTTACTTTTGATATGCAGTGAGGTGGAGTATATCTGAAAGGGTCCCACCTCAGCCTTCTTTGCATTTGAAAGAAACAAAAAAATCATGAACCATGGATGTCAATAAGCCTAGGGTGGCAAAAGGAAAAGGAATTGAAGTCAAGTACCATAAAGAAATGGTACCCATTTGTGTAACCTGTGATTAAGGTGCTATTCATCATCCAAGATTAAAGGAAGAAGTTTATCACATTGAATAAATACAAGAGAACTTCAACAATTGGAGCTACCAGTTACTCCCAAAGGAAGACAAAAGGGTGCATTTTATCACCACTATGACTGCTTCATTTATCTGACAAGAAAAACTGATCTACTGGAGCCACAAGGTCAAAGATTTGTTTGCTGCAGTGATGTGTTACTTAGGGTTAGCTTTATCAGTTGGCCTATATTCACTATTAACAAGTCCATGCTAACCTAATTTTATGTCTCTCTCATTGCATTTGGAAAACCCTTCTGTGAAGGAATGAAATGTAATTATGATCAATCCATATCAGATCAACAAACCTCTAAATACTGTAGCTTCTTCACTTGTTAAAGTTAGCTTGTTAATATTAAAATAGATCTCTAGTAGCTGATTAGTTACTTAAGTAAAATGTACTGTCAAGAAATAGCAATTTAAATAAAAATAAAAAGATTATTTAAAATTAATAGCCCATATTCCCCCCATGACAAATATTTTTAAATGGAAATATTAACTCTATTCCCGAGGGAGTTCTCAGAATGCAGTGTCAACACATTATAAGGAATTGACTTACTCTGGAAAGATGAGGCAGTCACCAAACAATTCTCTGTGGATGTTGAGTTGGTCCTACTTTATAAAGCTCACATTGAGAATATTTAGAAAGCGGAATAATGGGCTATGTCATCCTCTGGCCATATTTACAAAAATAAGGTGGTAGTATTTTTTACCAGCCAGATACTGAGACATCTCATGAACTAGCTTTTCCTAGGAGGGCCAAAGCTAGTGTGCAATCAGAGACCAGGCTCTGAGTATCAACCGACACACAAGATAGAAAATAACCCAGAAATCTTTAATAGGCATCATTATTAATAATCATCTCTTTAAAATATACAAACATCATGTTTTTCAAAAAATTCAAGCCACGCAAGATTATATACAAACATGCACATACATGTGCATGCACATACGTATTGCTTCCAATGCACACGAAGAGTTTAGCTTGCCTCTCACCGCTGTCCTCTAGTCATCCAGTTCTCAAAGACAGAAGCTGTTACCAGTTTCTTGTGTATTCTTTCAGAGATGATCTGTGCAGTGTTTTATCATTTTTAAATTTGATAACTCCAATGTACTTGGGATTTTGACAAGTTTTCCACCTGCTATGAAAGAATATTCTGAAGCAAATGTGTTCCTAAATTAAGAGTAAAAGGAAAAAAGCACAATAGACAAATGAGATCCTGTGTCACAAGAAACAAAGGCTACTAGTGAGGGCGGAGGGAAGGCATGAAAGGAAAAGGTAAGTGTCTTATGATATTTGTAAGAATAATTTCCCCCCATTTAACAACATAGCTTAATTAGGAAAAATGTAAGAATCAGACACTGATAAAATCCACTGTGTGACTTTGGTCATTATCTCTGATTTGTTTTCCTAAATTATAAAAATAGAGATAATATTAACTACCATACCGCATAGAGTTGTGAGGTATCTGACACATAGAAAGAACCTAGTAAGTGGTGATTTACTATTTTCTTAGGCATTGTTTATAGGAAATGGTTTTATATTTTAATTGTTTCTTCCCTCCCCTCTGATTCTGCCTCTGTATTTTTTAAATTGAAATATAATTGACATATAACCACCTC